GTAAACAAAAAAAATTACATGAAATTTAATCACATACCATTAGGTCATTGTTTTCATCTTTTTCCAGAAGTGTCAAAAGCAGATAGAGAAATACTGCCCAAGCTAGAACTAGAGGACCCGCTTCATTCATTTCAAAAGCATTGAAAGTAGAAACTAGTGCATCCATCTCTTGGACATCGGTCATGGAAAAAGTAGACTTGCCTTTCCTGGGAAATTCAAATTCAGAATAGATTTTACATCATTCAACAAAACATTAACTTAAAAAATCAATTGTAAAATACAGAGTCAATTAAATTCATGTCATGCTATATAGTTAACAAACTAAGGATACCACACAAGGAATGAAGAATTTGACAGAATACCCATAGCTCAAGACAAAGAGTATCACTAGATAAAACGAAGTAAATGGAAATGTTCCATATCCAAAGCTTACAAATAAAATATAAAAAATAATCAAAATAGACATGTTGAATTATTGGTAAAATTAACAAATTCTAATAATTATGCATAGCATAAAACTTTGTTATTTTTATTATCCCAAAAATTAGAAGCTACAAACAAGAGTCTTCAAGGTGAGAGATGCCTGGATTTCACTGGAGAACAGAATAGGACAAAGTATGCAATTTCTAATGTAGTTGCAGATTGCAAATATACTTGGTTAATGAATGAAATGACATATTTAAGAAAGGTTGTCCAATGAAGAGATTATTTGCCTCGTGATTACTTAGATCACAAGATATTTTCTGTAAAAGTTTATTTCAGATTCAAGAAAAAAGCCTGGCAGACCACATTCAGCCATTCATTGCATCAAAGATGAGGTTTCAGATTATAGCCTTGCAATCTGCAGTACTTCCTGGTTTAACCAAACTGTTTCACAACATGCTTTTATTATAACTTTGAAGCACTGGCCATAATATAAATAAATACTAGGCAAACCTATATGGTACTTCATCATGAACCATTTGAAGAACATTCTCCAGGTTCAGGGTTTCAATTAAAATAAGCAGCAGCTGAACTTTAGCATGATAAGACAATTGTTGTGTTTCTGCAGTAATTGCTAGCTTTCCCAAGTTATAATCACCAGCTAAGATCCCCTGAAACAAAAAATATATATATAACAAGGATTTGATTCAAAAACATATCCCAAGTCAAGTCTTAGCAGATATATTATTAAAAGGATTGTTTGTAATTGTATGATCTATACAAACATGAGTGTTCTTTTATATAATGAAGAGATGCAATAATAAGGAACAAAATCAATACCTAATAATGGGAAATATCCGATACATATTTTCCTATCAAATCAAATCATATCTCTAACACTCCACTCAAGCTCGAAATTATGTATTGTATCAGTCAAATTTGTTACAAATGTCATCAATTTGAGAACTCTTGAGAGACTCAGGGAGCATATCAGTAAGTTGGTGATTGGATCTGACAAAATCCATAATAACAACTTCATACATCAATTTGGTACAAGTTTTTTGAAGATTACATGCCAAGGAACTAGCAACACACCGCGATTGTTAGCTGTGAGTTGGGTATTGCAGTGATCATTAGAAAAGGGTGGCTTCAATTGCAAGCATTAGAGGTCGAAAGACGCAGTGACTGCTGGAGAGCAAAAATGGTTTGGAGGGCACAGTCATTACCGAAGAGAAAAAATGCTTAGATGTATGATGACTACCAAAGAGAAAAAAAATAATTAAAGGGCATTAAGAGTGCCGAAAAGAAAAAAAAATGCGTATAGAGTGCAGCAACTGCCGAAGAGAAAAATGTGTTGCTACAAGTATTATTTACCCGCGAGAAAATCTGAGTGACAAAGCCAAGCAATTGCATCTAAAAAAAGGTCATGGCCTAACAACGGATTAGTGACAAAACAAATCACAACAGATGGTACTATTCCAATACCATCTTACAAAATAACATACATTTAATTCAATCCCACAAAATTTAGCTTGTAAGACCAAGATTGCCCTTAATTATATATTGTATTTTGCACAATTTCCACTTTATGTGAGACTTGGATTTCTTTCCAATACATCTCCTCACGTCCAACAATATTGGGTTTGGTATATAACTTGGTGAGTGGTCTTTTTTAATGGATCTTGGATAGACTTTAAACCATATTGAAATTATTGTTTGCAATTGTGTGATTTGTACATACATGAGGATTGTTATTTATAATGAAGAAGAGATATAATAATAAGGAACAAAATCAATATCAAATAATGGGAAATATTTGGTAAGATATTTCTTCGTCAAATAATATAATATCTCCCTATTTAATGTCATCAAGTTATAATTATTATACCTTGTAAAGAGCACCAAACTTCTTCCACATTTCCCCGCTACAGGTACATAATGAGTCATAATATGCCAGGAAAAGGATGTCTAAGACCAAGTTGTCTTCAATTAGAGTCTCCTCAGCCCACAGTGTAAAAAGCTCAACATCCTTCAAGCGTTCCACAATCCACAATTAACAATAGTTGAGTCATCAAGAAATAAATTTTCCAATTATCAATCATATTAGATANCATTAGAAAAGGGTGGCTTCAATTGCAAGCATTAGAGGTCGAAAGACGCAGTGACTGCTGGAGAGCAAAAATGGTTTGGAGGGCACAGTCATTACCGAAGAGAAAAAATGCTTAGATGTATGATGACTACCAAAGAGAAAAAAAATAATTAAAGGGCATTAAGAGTGCCGAAAAGAAAAAAAAATGCGTATAGAGTGCAGCAACTGCCGAAGAGAAAAATGTGTTGCTACAAGTATTATTTACCCGCGAGAAAATCTGAGTGACAAAGCCAAGCAATTGCATCTAAAAAAAGGTCATGGCCTAACAACGGATTAGTGACAAAACAAATCACAACAGATGGTACTATTCCAATACCATCTTACAAAATAACATACATTTAATTCAATCCCACAAAATTTAGCTTGTAAGACCAAGATTGCCCTTAATTATATATTGTATTTTGCACAATTTCCACTTTATGTGAGACTTGGATTTCTTTCCAATACATCTCCTCACGTCCAACAATATTGGGTTTGGTATATAACTTGGTGAGTGGTCTTTTTTAATGGATCTTGGATAGACTTTAAACCATATTGAAATTATTGTTTGCAATTGTGTGATTTGTACATACATGAGGATTGTTATTTATAATGAAGAAGAGATATAATAATAAGGAACAAAATCAATATCAAATAATGGGAAATATTTGGTAAGATATTTCTTCGTCAAATAATATAATATCTCCCTATTTAATGTCATCAAGTTATAATTATTATACCTTGTAAAGAGCACCAAACTTCTTCCACATTTCCCCGCTACAGGTACATAATGAGTCATAATATGCCAGGAAAAGGATGTCTAAGACCAAGTTGTCTTCAATTAGAGTCTCCTCAGCCCACAGTGTAAAAAGCTCAACATCCTTCAAGCGTTCCACAATCCACAATTAACAATAGTTGAGTCATCAAGAAATAAATTTTCCAATTATCAATCATATTAGATACAAATCAAAGAAAAAAAAAGATCTCATTAGAGGGTAGAAAAGACTATTCCAACATCTAGTGTTCGTATGCTCCAGATGAAAATATACAATTACAACATGTCAGCTTTGAGACACATAGCACACTAATCCAGAACATGAAAGAATAGTCCAAGAAGGGAGTGTGGTAGAACAAGACTCTGCTATTAATGTTACAGCATGCACGTAGATTATTGCATTAAAATTATATAAGGATCGCACACAAAATACAAGTCATCTACCCATTTAAATTATGTAATGTAATGGTGAAAATTAAATAAGACTGGTAAACGGAATCTGAACATACCATTTGTTCTGGGTAGCTACAGGACAGAAGATTGTCAAAGAATAATATTAATTTACTTTCAAGACCATCATGAAACAATTTTCTTGCCTCCTCCTTCATAGTATTATCTTCAGACACAGGACCATTATGTACTGATGTAGAGTCAAAACCCAAAGAAATATCAGCAAGAAGAATGAATTAACATAAAGTATAAATGTTTACTAAACTTATACAAAATGAATGTGTGATCAGAATAGAGAATTAACAAAACAATTACTAAGTTGCCATAAAAAGAAACATGATACACTTACTAGCATGCATGAGAATCCACCTGATGCACTTTAGCAAGCACTGTCGCTCCTTGTAATATTGAATTAACATCTTCATAGAAAGAAAGAAAATAAATCAGAAACATGAACTAAAAAGAAACCATCATGGAAAAAAATACTGTGGTGAACAATTTTCTAAATGAACTATCCATATCAATTTAGACCTTAGAAAGTTCAGAAGCAGCTAAAATACCCGTACATTTGAACTGTCAAATCTAGAGAAGCAGCCTAGAAACAACCAAGTTTTCAGAGAGGCCAGAAAAACAAAGAAAGCAAAAAATAGATCACTTTAGTACTATTTCTTAAATTACATGCATGGGACCTTAGGAGAGAAGTTTCCTTCCAAAGGATTACCCTTCACAAAGGGTTGGCCTTTCCACAACAGAGCCTTTTATCTGTTATCAAATCTAAACTCTGAAATGCCTCCCTTGTACCTTGATCCAGCTACTTAAACCCCTGTGCCTGACTACCTATCCACTGAATAGATTTTGACTATAACTAACTAAACAAACATCCAACCATCTAACTAAATCTGACCATCTTCTCATTTTCTTTTGGGTCTTATCATGAACCCACTAATAATAGAAGACAGAAAAGGGAAGAACTTGAAAGGTTTCCAGTTGAAAGAAAACATGCATATCAGGTAGTGAGGTTATCTTACAAACATTATAATTTATATTTAAACGGTACTTATGATCAATGAGAAACTAAACATTCACCTTTGAGACTGTCATTAAGGCAACTTTATAAGGGTCACAACTAATGGTAGCTAGGGATGACCACAATTAAGACGTTTTCCAACACTACNTCTCACTTTAAAATTGATAAAGAAAAAGAAAAAAAAAACACTTTGACACTACACACAACCAGAAAAATATATATGAAAACGTCGAGCCATACAATAAAAGATAAAAAAAGGGAAAATTAGTATATGCATGTTATTTTAATAATAGGGCTTTACCTTGATAAGCCATTACTTCCTACATTCAACACAGGTGTCTGCAAAGTCATATCAAACAGGTTTGCATTTAGAGTAGCCGCTGCAACGTTAGATGGAGAACTGGATTGGAAAGGAAAAGAGATAGTTAGCCTTTTCTTAATTACACTATGAATTCAAAAAACAAACATCTAATAACAAATTAAATCATCAAGAGCATACAGATCAAATATTTTATTAGCACAAATTGATCTACATGTAGAAAAAAATAAATTAAATTACCAAATCAACATAATGGATAAAATCTTGATACCCATTGACATAAGTGCAGCACCACCTGAATTCAGAGGCAGTTTTTTAATTAAATTGCAAATTATCTCAACCACCCTGTAAAGATAAGAAAAATATCATTTTAAAAACGAGATAAACAGAATATATTAAAAAATTAAACAAGGAAAATACATGCACATAAAGACAACCATTCAAATTGAATAATTTACCAGACCCTCTTTTCAACCTGCTCATTCATCAAGCCAACAGCATCAAATTGCAAAGAGTTGCTGATGTCCATCACAGCAAAGCAAATACCCTGCATGCAGTAGGAGAATCATTGACCAGATTTCTTATGTACTCAGGTCGACAGAGGGTACTTCCATAACTATTAACTGGATTTGCAACAATTATCATGCAGTGGCTGTGTTTTTACAAAGAACCAAATTGAAAAAAATGGTCAATTAAACTTCGTAAACTTACAGTATTAAAGGACACCAATCTACTAAGCAGGTCAAGTGTAACAGCAACTTCATCCTTGTTATCCAAATACATTTCTTGGGCCAAATGTAAGAGTAATACGAATATTCCAGATGATGTATACTACAAAGAACAGGATTTTGTCAGTGTGAATTCAGAAATAGAGAAAATACTGATAAGATAAATACCCCACTCCAAGTAATAACATAACCTCCAAATTACAACAAAAATTATTACGAGTGTAAAGCACAAGCAACATTTAAAATTCCCAACTAAACAACAATTGAAGATGCCTATAAAAGGAAAAAGAAACAACAATTAAAGACCGGAAACTGGAATATCATCATTCATTTGATTATCACTGTTGAAATTTGATATTTTAGATATTGAGGGAGGAAAAGAGAAAAGAAAAACGAAACACTGATTTGATAATACATTGTTATATTTGGTATATTCATAAAACCTATAGTACTAACCCTTTCTTTATATTTGAGATGTAAGGGTTCTTCCTCACTTAAATACTCTGTAGGTTGTATCTCTTGTAAACTTGAGAATAGAATTTTTTCAAATACACCCCTTCATGTTCAACATTATATGGTTTGGGGCATGGAGAATAATACGGCGAGTGACCTTCTTTTTTAAATATAAAATGGCTCAAATACCACCTTAGGAATTTGGTTTTAAGTCTAACTCTATCTTACAAAACAAACTTGTAAGGTGAGAATTCTCCCCCACTTATATACTCTTTTCAAGTTCTATCTTTAGTCAACGTAGGACTTGAGTTTTTTCCAATACCCTATTTCCAGTAATCGTTAATCCTAGCTAATTATGGAAAATGTTGATAAGACAAAGAATGTGGTAACTAATCCTAAGGTATAAAGAGCAAATAAGGAAACTAATATTAAAGCATAATTTAAAATATCTGATGATGTATTTTTCACATATTCTATCAATCACTAAAGAATAATATTTTAGATTGCAAATCAATTACCAAAGAATTTAAAGAGAATTTCTATTAGGAACTTTTGGAATGAGTCTCATTTCATACATAGTCCAATGCAAAGAGGAGACAGAAAAGAAATAATACAACAAGCAATAAAATTTTAAAAATAATAATTCAACTATTTCAACACCACCAAAAAAAGTGAAGAAAATTAATGATTATAGATCAGGGTACAAGAAGCACTGAGAAATGTAAAATACAGCATAGCAAGTTAGTAATAGTATTAGCATAATTCACCTCCCATCGAACAAGGGCAGTATTCTCTCCAACAACTCTCAAGACACGACCACGAGTTCCAGCCGGAATAAAGAGACCTTGAACCCCAGGAACTTGCACTACCTGTTGTGCTTCAACTATCTGTGAATCACCATTAATCTCAAACAAAGATGATATACCAAGAGACCTATTTAGAAAGTTATACCTGTAGAAAACATGCATCAATAAGAAAGGCTACCAGGGATTGAAGTAACAAAAGTGTATCTTTGACTTGAAGGACCAATTGTACTGTAATTCCATTCCAATATGAGATAAAAAAATAACAAGCATTGTTAATTTACTTACACACACTCCGCTGGCCAAGTTCCTTCACCAAGGGATGACAGGAGTTGAACAAGTTCAACAGTCCTGAAAGGGAACTCACTCTCTAGGTTGCAAAGAAGAGACCGAATTGGACCATCAATAAAACTTTCCTTGTCCCAAAACTGAATACATAATGATTCCTGAAAGTTAAGGAACACGGTCCTTAAATTAATATATCATCACTGGCTGATATAATGATGATAATTAAGCAATGAATATAATGAAAGAGAACAATTATACATCCAAACCTCTCCACGATAAATCTTGCATAGAATATCCAGTATTAGAGTGGGGTTACCGTCATCAGGCTGTACATTTGTTGAAGCAGATCAAATGAGAAAGACATAAAAATCTCATAAAAACTAACTGCAGATTTTACAACCATACCTGAAGGTTGATTTCATAAGATGCAATGAATGCAGAAATGAATGTCCTCAAAACACTGCGATATCCACACATTGGGCCCTGAATGGAGGAAATTATTTATGATATAATTTATACAAAACAGCATACAGAATTAAGTCTATATACGCTATACCACCAATATCATGCTTAGTTTTCTTTCTGTGAACACAACTTAGTTAGGAGAAAGCTTAATGATTCCTGATAGAAAAGAAAGGAATAAGTGAAGGTTTAAAAAATATCAATCGACTACAACAAGTTATGCTGCTCAAGTCCAAATAACTCACATCATAATCTTTCAAAATGTCACATTCCAGAATTTCAAGACAATATCCCAGCGATCCAGCTTCAAAGGCTTGACGGACATAACTAATGTGATCAATCTCCTGGATGCAGAAAAATTCAAAAGGGTCAACCTTGCAATACAAACCCACGATAAGTAGTAAACAAAAAAAATCACATGAAATTTAATCACATACCATTAGGTCATTGTTTTCATCTTTTTCCAGAAGTGTCAAAAGCAGATAGAGAAATACTGCCCAAGCTAGAACTAGAGGACCCGCTTCATTCATTTCAAAAGCATTGAAAGTAGAAACTAGTGCATCCATCTCTTGGACATCGGTCATGGAAAAAGTAGACTTGCCTTTCCTGGGAAATTCAAATTCAGAATAGATTTTACATCATTCAACAAAACATTAACTTAAAAAATCAATTGTAAAATACAGAGTCAATTAAATTCATGTCATGCTATATAGTTAACAAACTAAGGATACCACACAAGGAATGAAGAATTTGACAGAATACCCATAGCTCAAGACAAAGAGTATCACTAGATAAAACGAAGTAAATGGAAATGTTCCATATCCAAAGCTTACAAATAAAATATAAAAAATAATCAAAATAGACATGTTGAATTATTGGTAAAATTAACAAATTCTAATAATTATGCATAGCATAAAACTTTGTTATTCTTATTATCCCAAAAATTAGAAGCTACAAACAAGAGTCTTCAAGGTGAGAGATGCCTGGATTTCACTGGAGAACAGAATAGGACAAAGTATGCAATTTCTAATGTAGTTGCAGATTGCAAATATACTTGGTTAATGAATGAAATGACATATTTAAGAAAGGTTGTCCAATGAAGAGATTATTTGCCTCGTGATTACTTAGATCACAAGATATTTTCTGTAAAAGTTTATTTCAGATTCAAGAAAAAAGCCTGGCAGACCACATTCAGCCAGTCATTGCATCAAAGATGAGGTTTCAGATTATAGCCTTGCAATCTGCAGTACTTCCTGGTTTAACCAAACTGTTTCACAACATGCTTTTATTATAACTTTGAAGCACTGGCCATAATATAAATAAATACTAGGCAAACCTATATGGTACTTCATCATGAACCATTTGAAGAACATTCTCCAGGTTCAGGGTTTCAATTAAAATAAGCAGCAGCTGAACTTTAGCATGATAAGACAATTGTTGTGTTTCTGCAGTAATTGCTAGCTTTCCCAAGTTATAATCACCAGCTAAGATCCCCTGAAACAAAAAATATATATATAACAAGGATTTGATTCAAAAACATATCCCAAGTCAAGTCTTAGCAGATATATTATTAAAAGGATTGTTTGTAATTGTATGATCTATACAAACATGAGTGTTCTTTTATATAATGAAGAGATGCAATAATAAGGAACAAAATCAATACCTAATAATGGGAAATATCCGATACATATTTTCCTATCAAATCAAATCATATCTCTAACACTCCACTCAAGCTCGAAATTATGTATTGTATCAGTCAAATTTGTTACAAATGTCATCAATTTGAGAACTCTTGAGAGACTCAGGGAGCATATCAGTAAGTTGGTGATTGGATCTGACAAAATCCATAATAACAACTTCATACATCAATTTGGTACAAGTTTTTTGAAGATTACATGCCAAGGAACTAGCAACACACCGCGATTGTTAGCTGTGAGTTGGGTATTGCAGTGATCATTAGAAAAGGGTGGCTTCAATTGCAAGCATTAGAGGTCGAAAGACGCAGTGACTGCTGGAGAGCAAAAATGGTTTGGAGGGCACAGTCATTACCGAAGAGAAAAAATGCTTAGATGTATGATGACTACCAAAGAGAAAAAAAATAATTAAAGGGCATTAAGAGTGCCGAAAAGAAAAAAAAATGCGTATAGAGTGCAGCAACTGCCGAAGAGAAAAATGTGTTGCTACAAGTATTATTTACCCGCGAGAAAATCTGAGTGACAAAGCCAAGCAATTGCATCTAAAAAAAGGTCATGGCCTAACAACGGATTAGTGACAAAACAAATCACAACAGATGGTACTATTCCAATACCATCTTACAAAATAACATACATTTAATTCAATCCCACAAAATTTAGCTTGTAAGACCAAGATTGCCCTTAATTATATATTGTATTTTGCACAATTTCCACTTTATGTGAGACTTGGATTTCTTTCCAATACATCTCCTCACGTCCAACAATATTGGGTTTGGTATATAACTTGGTGAGTGGTCTTTTTTAATGGATCTTGGATAGACTTTAAACCATATTGAAATGATTGTTTGCAATTGTGTGATTTGTACATACATGAGGATTGTTATTTATAATGAAGAAGAGACATAATAATAAGGAACAAAATCAATATCAAATAATGGGAAATATTTGGTAAGATATTTCATCGTCAAATAATATAATATCTCCCTATTTAATGTCATCAAGTTATAATTATTATACCTTGTAAAGAGCACCAAACTTCTTCCACATTTCCCCGCTACAGGTACATAATGAGTCATAATATGCCAGGAAAAGGATGTCTAAGACCAAGTTGTCTTCAATTAGAGTCTCCTCAGCCCACAGTGTAAAAAGCTCAACATCCTTCAAGCGTTCCACAATCCACAATTAACAATAGTTGAGTCATCAAGAAATAAATTTTCCAATTATCAATCATATTAGATACAAATCAAAGAAAAAAAAAGATCTCATTAGAGGGTAGAAAAGACTATTCCAACATCTAGTGTTCGTATGCTCCAGATGAAAATATACAATTACAACATGTCAGCTTTGAGACACATAGCACACTAATCCAGAACATGAAAGAATAGTCCAAGAAGGGAGTGTGGTAGAACAAGACTCGGCTATTAATGTTACAGCATGCACGTAGATTATTGCATTAAAATTATATAAGGATCGCACACAAAATACAAGTCATCTACCCATTTAAATTATGTAATGTAATGGTGAAAATTAAATAAGACTGGTAAACGGAATCTGAACATACCATTTGTTCTGGGTAGCTACAGGACAGAAGATTGTCAAAGAATAATATTAATTTACTTTCAAGACCATCATGAAACAATTTTCTTGCCTCCTCCTTCATAGTATTATCTTCAGACACAGGACCATTATGTACTGATGTAGAGTCAAAACCCAAAGAAATATCAGCAAGAAGAATGAATTAACATAAAGTATAAATGTTTACTAAACTTATACAAAATGAATGTGTGATCAGAATAGAGAATTAACAAAACAATTACTAAGGAGCCATAAAAAGAAACATGATACACTTACTAGCATGCATGAGAATCCACCTGATGCACTTTAGCAAGCACTGTCGCTCCTTGTAATATTGAATTAACATCTTCATAGAAAGAAAGAAAATAAATCAGAAACATGAACTAAAAAGAAACCATCATGGAAAAAAATACTGTGGTGAACAATTTTCTAAATGAACTATCCATATCAATTTAGACCTTAGAAAGTTCAGAAGCAGCTAAAATACCCGTACATTTGAACTGTCAAATCTAGAGAAGCAGCCTAGAAACAACCAAGTTTTCAGAGAGGCCAGAAAAACAAAGAAAGCAAAAAATAGATCACTTTAGTACTATTTCTTAAATTACATGCATGGGACCTTAGGAGAGAAGTTTCCTTCCAAAGGATTACCCTTCACAAAGGGTTGGCCTTTCCACAACAGAGCCTTTTATCTGTTATCAAATCTAAACTCTGAAATGCCTCCCTTGTACCTTGATCCAGCTACTTAAACCCCTGTGCCTGACTACCTATCCACTGAATAGATTTTGACTATAACTAACTAAACAAACATCCAACCATCTAACTAAATCTGACCATCTTCTCATTTTCTTTTGGGTCTTATCATGAACCCACTAATAATAGAAGACAGAAAAGGGAAGAACCTGAAAGGTTTCCAGTTGAAAGAAAACATGCATATCAGGTAGTGAGGTTATCTTACAAACATTATAAGTTATATTTAAACGGTACTTATGATCAATGAGAAACTAAACATTCACCTTTGAGACTGTCATTAAGGCAACTTTATAAGGGTCACAACTAATGGTAGCTAGGGATGACCACAATTAAGACGTTTTCCAACACTACTCATGCCTAGGACTACCAATCAAGAGAGTGGCAGATACAAGTGACACAAGTCCCACATCGACAAATAATAAGATCAGTTTAGAGTATATAAGTGAGTGCAAAACTCAGTTTACTGATTTTATGAGATTAAGTTAGGCTTAAAGTTCATTTTTTCAAATGGTATCAGAGCCAAGTTAGAACATATCCTAACAAAATTTCATGTTTATTGAGCATATTATTCCACTTGTTGTTTGGTGGAGTTGACTTAGGCTTAAAGTCAAGGTTTTCAAACTCGAGAGTTTACGTAAACTCGTGAGAGTCCAGTAAACTCGACTCAAAAACTCGTAAGAGTTTACTTTTGTATGAAAAAAAAAATATAACTTCATAGAAATATTTTTCATACAAATATATTAATTGAAATACATAAGTTTCATATTAATATTGTTCATAGAAATATTATAAAACATAAATAGAAATATCAAAATCTTTATGACTATTCCTCTAATCCTTTAATAATCCTCTAATAATAGCATCATCATTTAAGGAATGAAGATACAGTTGGATTAGTTCCCATTGAATTTGATGCATTTGCTGCCATGATGTTCTCAATTTTTTCACTAAAAAAAAGTGGCAGGACTTAGGATTTAAAAAAACACAAACAAAAAATTTCATTCCTGTAATAAAACCATAAGAATTTAATTTTTTAATAAATCATTTACATACTAAAATAAAAAATTTAATAAAACAATATAAATTTCAATAAAAATAAAAATAATTTACATAAAAGTAACAACATAAGTATATTTCATTTATGTAATAAAACAATAAAAATTTCAATTTCTAATAAAATCATACAGGAGGTTAGGGGTTGTAATTTTAGAATAAGAAAACTCCACTCATCACCACTTGTGGCTCGAAGAAGGCCATACCAGAAGCTGCGACGGCGAGGACAACGGCAAGGATGGCGGCGAGTGCGACATTGATCGCAAACCAGGCAAACGACGACGGGAATGAAACTCGACCACACACTACGAGCGACGACCACGATCGGCAAGCGGACCAAACGCGATCACAAACAGCGACCACGAACGACGATCGGACGGAGCGAAGCTTGACCACGAGCGACGAAGATCAGTGGTGGAGCGAAACAAAAACAAAAATGAAGAACACTAATCAGATTATTAAACCCTAAACAGAAGGACTCCTCCTTTCTTCGTTTCCACCGAGTCCATGTACGATTCTACTTCTGAGTTCAGTCTAAAAACGTGTTTGGTTCCGAGTTAACTCAGAAACCATAACTGGGAACGTTAAATCAGACGAGTTAACGAGTTAACTCGCGAGTTTGAAAACCATGCTTAAAGTTCACTCCTTAATAACAACAAATCTAAGATAGGCTCCAATACCATCTTAGAATTTAGACTTGAATACTAACACAATCTCAAAAACAAACTTGTAAGGTCATGATTTCCCAAGTCTCATAAGAACTACATAGGTCATACCTGTAATCAATGTGAGATTTTAACCATTAAAGAGCCACACAAAGGTTGTTGACTCTATGATGCTTGACTAAGCCTTACAAGTCAACCCTTCCATAAGAAGCCCATTTCAACATACAAGTGACTACAATTAAGGCAGCTTTCTAACACCTGGCAATTTGACAGTGTAGGTGGCCCAACATTGGATGCAAGATAAACTCTAATACCATCATAGAATTTTAGCTAATGACTTAACTCAACCTCACAAAACTAACTACAAATTAAAGGTTGTCTAAGCCTTATAAAGACTAAGTCAAAATCTTGGTGGCTCCACACTACGAAACCTAAGTCAACCTTTCTAGTCAATCCCTTGATAAGACTCTAGTCGCAAGCTTTGGAACCAGTACATCACTCCTTCAAAATCATTTCTAATATGAATATTGCAATATAATAGATTTGCCACTAATGATAATCTTCTTAAATGTTGCTTGGTATATGGTTCCTAGATGTCATCATTGTCAAAATCACATTAAAATTGTTGCACATTTCTTTTTTTGTTTGTTGTTATCTTTTGGTATTGGCTTAGTTCATCTGTTCAAGTTCATATTGATCATCAAAACCTAGATTTGGTGTTGCTATGTATTCATACTGCTTGGAGCAAACCTATAAAGATAGTGCTTCAAGATGCTACCACTTGGATTTTGTGACATTACCTTACAAGTTAATTTTGTATACTGAGTTAAGTTTAAAGTCCATTAAAAAATGGAACATCAAAATATTTGGCCTTTTTAAAGAATTTGGCAACTCCAAAAAATTGAACCTTGCCCCTTCTGTCATACCTGTTTTGTGGCTATCTCCACCTTGATTTTGGATGAAGTGTAACATTGATGGAGCTGCTCGTGGTGCTCCTGGTCTTACTGCTTGTGGGGGCTTATTTCAAGATAGAGATACTGCCTTTATTGGTGGTTTCACTCACAACCATTTATCCAGAACTTCTTGGTGTTATTTGAGCTGTTGAAATTGCTGTTGAGAAAGGATGTCATAGTCTATGGATTGAAAGTGACTCTATGTTGGAGGTTCAAGCTATCTCCAATCATCACATTATTCCTTGGCATCTTCAAAATCGGTGGCAGAATATGTTGGGGCTTAGGAATATGAGATTTCATGTATCTTGTATATATAGAGCGGGAAACCATTGTGCTTACAAACTTGTTTCTTTTGGTGTTAGGCATAGATGTACTATGTGATGGGATCTTATTCCAAAATTTATTAAGTTTGATTTCTAAACCCCAACCACAACTCTAAGTCCCGAGCACCAAGTGCCACATAAAAATTCAAAAAAATATATATTTGGAATTCATCCAACCATGACTTCACAGCACACATAATCCACTGAAGTTACTTTATTTGAAATTTGTTTGTAAAAAACATACTGAATCAGCTAAATCCTCGTATTATGTACAAAGTATGATCATTCTAGAAATAAGCACTTGACTAATACAGAAATGCAGTAAGGTGATAGAGCTACTGACCATGTGAAGAAACTCCGGAGCCATGGAATCAGCAACTGCATCGTTATGTTTGATGGACCTTTCAACAAAAATGTATGATTGAACCTCGTCTAGTAGCTGAAATAAACAAGAATGGGAATAGAAAGTCACCTTGAGGTATCAGCATACCACACCGACAGTGAATAACTGACATTACTAAGTAAATTCCCCATGATACATATAATGAAAAAACAACACTTGTCCCCACACAGCAGAAACACATATCAAGAACAAAATCATTTCTGAGATCATAGAATAAACTTTCAAATTTCAATGTAAAAACATTTCTCTCAGCAATTAAATAATTTCACCCCATCCTAAACTCTTGACCACCACAAAAACTTCAACAATGAAACTTATGATATAGTATTAGCAATGATCACTAAGCAAACACAAACAAGGAACTAGCTGACCAGGATGGAGCTAATCTGCAACGCTTTATCTTTCAGGTGAGGCTGAACACTGAGCTGGTGAGATCCAATTTTCAGAGTTTTTGAATTCAGAGCTTCCTTGGAACTCTGATTGGGCGGTTTGAAGCGCGACAGTGTGTCTACGAACCAGGCATGGTTGTCCTTCAACTTCTTCGCCTAAATAAACACGAAAATGATTCCTGTAAGTTCACAAATTCAGACTCACACAAAGGCACAAAGATAATTGAAAGTGTACCAAGTTAGGTGGGAGATCTGAGGTCAGAGAGGAATTCTCAAGCTCGGTGAGGAGCACGGTGAACGAGTCCCACCACAAAGAAGCATCGACGGAACTGATATCGGCCATTGTTAGAGGAGAGAACAGCAAAGAAGAAGAGGAGAAAGATAAACCCTAACACTGCAAGAAATCAGCAATGGAAGGGTTTAGTTTAATTTTTTCATTTGATTTTTCGCGCTTTCAAATGCTCTCACGGTCTGAACTAAGTATTGTTTTATACTGCCTGGGTTATTGAATCGATAATTTACTTTCTAGACTTAACCTTTTAATTTTTAATTCATATTTTTTATTTAAATTTAATTATCTGCACTTAATTATATACTTTTTAATAATTAAAATAATATGAAAATGTAATGTATTGTTAACTCGTATAACTTAGTAAATTAAAAAAAAAAGATCAATTTTCATTTTTATATAGTTGCCTTGAATATAATTTAATTACATTTATATTTTTTTTTCTCGAATTTTATTCAAATATATATAGTTTTTGCAATGTTGGTTCTTACAAAAATTTAATTGCATGTTTAGACATTTCATTCATAAGATTAAGAAATTTTAGTCTATTGTTAATAGTTTCCTAATTTTTAAATACTATTTTTATAGATCTATTTTTTTAGTTGCATATACATACACAGGTTTGATTAAATATTGAGTAATATGTATATTTGTATTTATATTTATATATTTACAAATAGTAATTATTTTTTTTATAATAAAAAAAATATTTGACAAACATAGTTGGAAATGTTAAATAATACTTAGAAAGTGAGGAAAATATAAATTATATGATTTGATGAAAAAGTATTAAGTTTTGATTTGATGTTAAAAGCGATTGGGCTTTATATATCATTTTGTATCTGATTAATTAGTTCTTTTATAAGAAATATAAGTTCTAGCTCAACATAAACATAAAAATGAAATATATAAATAATATCAATACATACTTTATACATTTGTTTTGTAATGTTAACCATGTCACCCAATCTCACTATAGTATGTACATATATAATAACTCACAAATAAATATCAAAACTTCTATATGAAGATATTTGATCTCTTGATTTTAATAAAAATTAGAATTACTTCATTTTCAAAATTTTATTCTAATTTAATTCCTTAGTTTTAAAAATGTATAGATTTAATCGTTCTAATCAAATTTTATTAAATTTAAATGACATTTTAAATCAATTTCATGATAATATTTAAATTATTAATATTGTTTAATACATTTTTTCTTCTTAATTAAAAAACACGTTTAAAATGTCAAATAAATTTAATAATGATTAAAATAATTAAAATAATTAAATTTATACATTTATAATTCTAAAGAAAGAATAAATTAATTCAAAGTTTTTTAAAATAATTTTAATTTAAGAACTTAAAATAAATTTAATCTTTTTATATTATTCAATCTTGTACCTTGTCTTGTCTCTTTTCAATTATTAGCACTCTTATCATATTCCTTAAATTTGTTGAAATTTAAGGTTTTGAGACTTTAAGCAATAAAAAGAACATATTAAAAGCTTGTAACTATTAAGTAATCATACGTAAATATACATTCTTATTCTCTGAAAATGACATAATGAAGGCTTAACTATCCCATCACACTGCACTTATCTACACCAGAAATAATCATTCAACGACAAATAGAATATCTAGGGTTCTCTAACTTTGCTCATTCAGAACAGCACCAATTATCACACTCAAATTCAAATAAACATTTCAAACTTCTCAATCAAATGCTCTATTTGTTTTCTCCATATCTGACTGATATATGCTTTCTTCACATCAAATGCAATATCCTTCGGGAGGCTTTATTAGCAACAACAAACTTCCTCAATCGTTGATCATAGGGAAAGCACTTAAAAAAGGACAAAAAACATGCACGCTTTGTAAACCCAAGAGTAATCTAGCTCTGCGTTATAGCCTAAGGATGAGAAGAAGATGGGGGAATCGGAGGCCATTTGGGGTGATGGAAAAAGTGCTTTGGAGGAAGTTTTGGAAGAGGTGGAAGTGGCTTGAGTGGAGGAAGAAGTGGATGTGGATGTGGCTTGAGTGGAGGAAGAAGTGGATGTGGATGTGGCTTGAGTGGAGGAAGAAGGGGATGCTTTGGTGGGCATGGCTTCTTTGGAACCGGTGGGGGGAGAGGCTTAACCGGTGGTGGAACAGGAGGCTTGACCTTTGGTGGCTTTGGAGGGCATGGCTTTGGTGGTTTTGGATGAGGAGGCTCCTTTGGGGGACTTGGTTTTGGTGGTTTTGGATGAGGCTTTGGTGGTTTTGGGTGAGGAGGCTCCTTTGGGGGACATGGTTTTGGTGGTTTTGGATGAGGAGGCTCCTTTGGGGGACTTGGTTTTGGTGGTTTCGGATGAGGCTTTGGTGGTTTTGGGTGAGGAGGCTCCTTTGGGGGACATGGTTTTGGTGGTTTTGGATGAGGAGGCTCCTTTGGAGGGGATGGTTTTGGTGGTTTTGGAGGGGACGGTGGAGGCTTAGGAGGAGGAGAAGGTTCAACAGGAGGAGGAGTATATACAGGAGGAGGAGTATATACAGGTGGAGGAGTATACACAGGTGGAGGATGTTTATGGAAAATCTTTGGTGGAAACGGTGGAAATACTATTGGAGGGATGGTGATGGGTGGATGAGGAGGAAGCTTAGGAATGAGAGGGTGGTGCTTCCAGAAGAAAGCAGAAGCGCATGTCTCTGAAGAAAACTTGAGTTTTCCAGCAGGACCAAGTGTGTGTTTGTCGACACCTTTTGACTTGATAACAATTTTGGTGCTAAAAGGACCATCATGGGAAGGACAAGGAGCAGCTGATGCACTGAGTAACTGAACATAGCATTCTTCTTTGAGTTCATCAGCTTTCACAATGTCATGTGGAAGGGACACTTTGAAGTTTCCATTTTCGTCAAGCTCACCAACCCCTCTCCTTTCTAAGTCCCCACTTGCTGCTTTGCACTCTACTGTTGCACGTAGTCCTGTAGAAAAATGCACGTTAGTAAATGAAACTCTTACAGGGCTAATTACATATAAAAATGACAGGAATATGGTCCATCAGAAACTTAGTATGTAGTAATTAACAAGTGTTTGATATTTATACACAAATTTGCTTATATATAACAAGTGTTTGATATTTATACACAAATTTTTGTGTGGTGTCAGTAGAAGTCTAAGAAATCTATAGTATGCAGATAGTACGTTAGAATATGTACCTGAGAAAGCCTGGCTAGTTTTAATATTTTTAGCATTGCAGTCTGTGCATTCTCCGAGTCCAACTACCTGGACTGTGGTGTGGTCGCCACCATAGCAGAAGCCTACTACCAGAAATAGCACAGACAACCAGAAGCACAAAAGTGCTCCTTGGCGCCGGGTAAAAACCTGCATAAGGAACTGCAACTACAGTTCCTGATGACTATAATAACGATATATAGAGAAAATAGTAAGGCACACTTAGAACTAAGAAAGAAGCTGTTAAGCTTCTATGGTGGAATGGGAAACTGTTTGATTGGAATGCTTAATATATAAGCCTCTTGGATATTGTTTCACCGACACTGAAATTAAGAACTTCACGTGGGTGAACGGGACCAATATCAGTGGGATCATGAGAGAAAAAGACCATAACGTGCACACACCAGTTTCCATAAACAAATTACTGTCTAATTCATTCAATGCATGGCTTCTCAACCGCACAGCCAAACGCATATATCTGTCACAAAACCTACTCTTAAATGCCACTAATAAATGCATTTTACGTTGCATTGCTAAAATGATTGTTGTTTTGACAGAAGAATTCCAATCATGGAAGGAAGAAGTTTTTGCGGATAACAGAAGATTAACTGAACTACTCCAGTCAACTCTTTCTTTATCTCCGTACCGCACATTTAGAAAATTTTGCAGAAGCTTGATCGTGAAAATTGTGTTGTTGCTGCCACTGGGATAGAAAAAGGATAACGTATCACGTCATTAACACACCTACTCTTGTGGATCTTAATTTTATTGCCGGAATCGATCATAGTAAGCCTCTAAATTATCACTTTATATTTTCTTTTCAGAAAATTATCTAGACTTAATTCAATCTTAATAAGATGAAGTTTGTATATTAATATATTAAAAATTTGTGTTATCCTAATTGACAAAGGATTTTTCACTGCTATTTTCGAATAGTATATTTTGAGTCTCTAATTAGGTATTAATTAATGAAATGATAGAGAAAAACAATAAAAATTAAGTTGTAAAGTAAAATTCACAACCATTTATATACTTAAAATTTGTCTTGATTTTAATACTTTCAAATTCTAATAAGAAACCAAAATAAGGAAAATTTATTTATCAATATCAACATTAAATAGGGTTAAATACGTTGTAGTTGATAAACTTGGAAACAAAAATAAAATTAGTTCATATTCAAAACTTTAACATGATCCTTAAATTTTAAAAATAAATGTATATATAATATTTTTAATTCAATAACGTTAAAATCTTTTTACGTATTAAACGTCTTTTAAATTGATATTTTGAGTTGGAGTATACCTTCAAATGTTAACTTAAAACTTATTTTAACACGTTAAAAAAATTTAATTACTAAATCAATTTATTCTTAAAATTTAAAAATCAATTTATATAAAACATTAATAAACTTTAAAAATAAAAATATTTAACTCTTAAAATTTTTGTAAACGATTTCGGTGTAAATTTATAAAAATCGTTGTTTATATATTATTTAAATATTAATAGTACCATCGATAAATATTTTACGCCTAAACAAAAGGCGGTGAATAAACAAAAAATTAAGTCCAGGCCAGAGGAATTGATTTTTCTTTATCTCATTAGGAAATTGGGTATTATCAATAGATAGTTTAACAGCTATCAACTTTCCACACGTTCACAAACTTATAAAATTGTTTACAAATTATAGAGAATACCTATTTTAAAAAACTATATAACCTATTAAAATTATTGATTAAAAATTATAAGGAAGTGAATATTTATTTAAAAAATATATGAATATATGGGAGTGTCATTTTATGTAGGGTTAAATATGTTTTTAGTCCCTAAACAATTGGTCGTTTTTAGTTTTCGTCCCTCTTTCAAAGTAAGGTACAATTTGGTCCTCATTCTTTTCGAAACGTTCGTTTTAGTCATCGGAATTTTTGTTTTAATCCTCATTTGTTGCTAAATGAGAACCAAAATTTTTAACTGTGTTTAGTTTTCGAGGACTAAAACGAACATTTCGAAAAGAATGAGGACCAAATTGTACCTTACTTTGAAAGAGGGACGAAAACCAGAACGACTAAAAACATATTTAACCCTTTTATGTATAATATATAAAGTGGGTTTATTTTAGAATTTAAGAGAACATAATTTAAATTCTAGGAAAATGAGTTTGAATAGTTAGTATTATTAAATAATATGCATGTGTATGCCAGATGCATACGTAAGTGTATAACATTGAAGTCTAAGTTTTGTTTAATGATGGTGGGAAAGTCTTGGTCACGATCTTAATATTTAATAGCCGTTTTTATTGTTTTTTTAGGGTTCATTTCAATACTAAAAAACATGTTTTTCTATCCCTTTCATTGTTTGACTAGGAAACATAATTGATGGTTTTAGCTACCTATACTTAATTCAATTTCTGTCCAAACACATGGAAAGCTCAATCAATTTTAGAAACAAATGTGACATTTTGCTATTGTTGGTGCCAATCACTTTTTACAAACAGGCTTGTTAATTTTAGTACACCTTATTGGTGTCTAATTATATCTTCCAAACATTATTATAAGTATTTTAAATATAAATATTTAAAAAAATATATTAAATAAATGTAAAAAAAATTATATATGTTATACAGTACATTTTTCTTTTAATATTACAACGAGTGATGGAGCAATGTCATCACAGCTTTTTTCTATAACAATTATAATTAAAAGAATTGTTAAGTTGGTTTGATTAATGTATTATTTAGATCCAACAATAATAAACTTCAACTAGCATCACCTAATAAAATAATAATATATTTAATTCAGAATATTAAATAATAAATTTATGAACATTATTTTGTATATTTACTTAATATTTTCATATTTTTATGTAAAACTAGATTTATATATTCACATTTGAATTACTAACTTATATATATTATATATTATTGTATTTTCAGCTGTTTGATACGAGAGAAAGTGGAAAAATGTAGATCATATTTTTCTTTAGGAGCAAAATTGTGTGAAATTCTTTCAAATTTTCTTTAGATACACTTATATTTTCTTTTGTTTTTTTTATGATCACAGAGACTTTGTTTTGAGGATAGATCCGTATATTTAAATTTCAAGGGGATAGATATTTAAGATAAAAAAAATAGAATGTAATTGTTTAAGAAAAGAGGTTTCACAGAATTTATTTAAAAAAATAAACTGAAATATCGGTATAATTGGAGAAAACCTCGAAAGTGTTAGTTTGATTTATTTATTTCTTCTACAGACAAAATGACGTATATGTTTCACCACATCTTAGATGTAAAATAAGATCACTAGTTATTGAAACAATTTTATATTGTATTATTTATATATTATATCGTAATCCTGTGTTATTTTAAGCCATGTGACAATAGTTGAATAAGTTGATTTTGCAGAATTAAACTTTCTTGAAATTCATATTTTAATATATATTTGGTGAAAAACGTTATATTAATATCTGTTATTTGAATCAATTTTTAAAAATTCTTATAACTTTATTTGAAAAACGTTCTATTAATATCAAATTTGAAATCAACATTATCCTTCAAAAACTGGTTTAGAAAGAAATCCAACAAAAATAGCATTCAAATATTGTCGAATGATATCGTTTAAATTAATCACATGCATCTAAAATATTATCGACTTTAAAACCTTTATTTTTTACGATTTTGTTTTTAAAATAGATCTCAAATAATAAAATAAAAATGAACTCCTAAACGATATTTTTGTTTTTTCTTGTTTCTTCGACATTGTATTGAATTCATTTCGAAACCAACAAATATTTCACCTTTCTTGTATTTCCAAAATTTCGCATCATCCAAAATGTCGTTTTTATGTTGAATTAAAATCAAGATGCCAACTTTGGAAGGAGTGTTCTTCTTTACTATGTTATACGGTTCCAAAGAGCATCTTAAGATGACAGTAAACACAAAAATGTACGTAAAACAAAATGAACATTATCTAATGAAAACTCTGCCATATCGCAAAAGTTGTATCATTCCTAATTCAAATCCTTGTTAGTTTAGAACAAAAAAAAAACTCAACTTCATTCGAATGGAGAAACGTAAAAAGTCTTAAGCTACAACAGAAAGCTAGATCTTTCAGCCAAAATTTCACAGCTACTTGGTCGTGCTCTCTTAAACTCAAACCTAGTCAGTAACATGATTCTGTATTCCATGGCACAGTCTTGTGTGGCTGAACGTGAGAATTTGCTTATCTACTTCTTCTTCTTTGACTTGCTCGACAGAGATTGGGTAAATGCAGTTCCCTAGGTGTCAAAATAAAGGGCAGACAAAGTGAAGCATAAACCCATCAGTGTTACATCAAAGGTTAATGCATCAAACATGAAATCCAACAAGTATAGTACAAGGCATAAGAACAAACCTGTAGCCATTCATCAGTTGAAGCATCTGTAGACCTTGTTCCCACTTCAACTTTTGGAGCCCTCTTTGTTTTCTGAATAAACATGAATCAAATTATCAGAACAAGGCAGCAGATATGTGATTCGAGGGGTCCCCAAAAAACTCAAACTAAGAGTGGAATTCTTTCATGCTCCAGGAATGAATGGATTCTCTTGTTTTAGATAACTTAGAACCCAAAAACTTGCAATACCCTTATCAGTTCATTATAGCTTAAAGCCATGGGAATATATGACTTCTCCTACTATGTTACAGATTAATATGAATTGTGATATCACGACACATTTTGTAGTTAGCAAATCAAACAAGTACAAAGTCTCAGTATAAATCAAAACAAAATAGAGTTGACGATTTTATGAGTACCATTAGCAAATAACAATGCATCCTTGAAAGCACGTTATTTGAAAAAATAATGGTGTTAGTACCTTAGAAAGGTGTTGTATTTGACCATGAATCCATAGCCCCAGGAGGACAAGGAGAGCAGCCCCCAAGGTAACAAGAAAAACAGACTCCATGCTAAGAAAACCACCAGCTTCAGCAACTTCAACAGTGCCATTAAAGAAGACGCTTTGGAATGGATGATCATCTATCTCATAAATAATAGTGCCCACAAGATCAAAATTTCCAGGCTGCATAACAGAAAAAGTAATATCCATAATTAGTATAATAGTCTCCGGTGATGCTTACTCATTGAGAAACTATAAGCATTGGCCCTTGAAGCAATAAAGATACCTGCATGAACTTACTGACTGCAAATAGATATGGGAAAGTAGCCTGTGCTGAGGCTGGTACAGAACCATTATTGAAACCCTGAAATTAAAACAAAAGATTGAATTTAAAATAATTATGCAATACCATTT